GCTTTCCATAATAATGAAAAGATGTTTATGATGCCATTTGAAGGCATTGATTGGTATGGGGGGGGGCAGGAAAACGACAGCGGATGTGTGTCAACACTCCACTGAAACCAATTGAATGTCCCGTCTCCCTGCATGAGCAGCACCTGGTAAACTTTTCTTTCTAGGAGTTTTACCTGTAAAATAAGAAAACCCAAAGTGGCCAGCTCTGATGCCCCAAAAAAAGTGTTTGATGAGAAGCAGCATTGCGTGGGGCGTGGGAGACCTTCATTCAGAATCGCTGCGGGCCTAGCCTGCCAGCTGCTCTGTCTAGGACGGCGGTGCTCGCCCATTAGGCTTGTGTTCTTCGACAGATCTCCGAGGGGCAAGGTGGGTGTCGTCGGAGGGGGCGAGGGGCTGCCCTGCACGTCGTAGCCAAGAATCCAGGGACTGTCCCCCACTCTCCCTTGTTCCCTCACGCTCCCTTGTTACCGCCATACCTTCCACACCCGTCTCACAGGTTTCGGAACACTCCTGGGGGAGATGGGGGGACCTAAGGAGGTGCAAACCACAGCACGCTCAACCTTCTTTCCACCGCAGTCCAAACTCTGGCCACCACGGTCCTGTCTCCCCATTCCCTGTCCTTCCACTGCCCTGCAGCACTTTGCTCCGTTTATGGGATGGAAGGGGTGGGAATTATCTCCTTCCTAGCGGCTCCTACTGTGCCACGGCCGCAGTGTTATACAGAACGTCTCCATAACCCTCCCCAAGCGCCCAGGCCACGGCGGTGCGTCCCTGCACGTCCCGCACGTCCAGAGGTCGTATGGTTTAGCCGCAGTCCCACAGCGCCCGAAAAAATCGTTTGGCAGCCATCCCCAGAGAACCAGCATCCTTGCCGGTACAGGACGAATTCGGCCTCTTGCCTACCCTCCACTCCGCTTTACACAAGGTCACTTACCAAAGGAACAACCGCCGCGGAAGGCCTTTCGGACCTAAGAGGCGGTAACCTTGCTCAGGTTCAGCAGGCCCCACACTTGGCTTGTCCGCAGGGCGCAGGCCCGGCACCCTGGAGGCCTGCACCGGTGCTGGGGCGCGCGCAGCACCGGGGAACCAGGGTTCCTTAAGGGGGGATTCTACTCCAGGCAGACCCTTGCGCGTCGCTGCGCATCCTGCACCGCGGTCCCAGCCCGACCTGTGCCCTGGCTGGTGCTCGCCCCGCACAAGGACGTTCTCCTCGCTGGTTTCCAACTCCTCGCTTTTTCTCCCCTTACTTGAAGATCAGTAAAGAGTCACTTCCTCCGTTTGATCTTGTATTTCCCTATTGGGGGTTGGGGGTGGATAGAGGGGTGGTGTCAAGATTAAAATCTTGGAGTCTACTCTAAGCAAACAAGCCATAAACTGACATATTAATTCTCGGGACCAGCTGCTAATTCGAGAGAAGAAAGTGCCCTGGGGCACTGCAACACCTCTTCTTGTCTCATTTCACTAGGGGTTGCGTAGACCTGTGCGGGGTCAAATGCGAGCGCCAGTCGTGCGCGCACGTGTGCGCGGAGTGCAGATCTACCCGCGTGTTCCTACGTCTGCCGCTTTGTGTGCCCACCCGCGTACTCCGCCACCTCCTCAGGCCGCCAGCGCGCGCGGCTGCGAGAGTGGAGACCGTGGGCTCTGTATGGGGAAATGCCCCCGCAGAGGGTTTAAATTATTTCGCTCCGCGGGAGACCGGGCGTCAGCCGCACTAGAATGTGGATCTGGGCGGCAAAGGCCCAAACCCGAGCTGGGGAACCGAGTGGAGACTGGGTTGCGGTAGGAGCACCGTTGGCGCCGCCACGTGCCTGAAATGTACTTTCAAGGCCGCCGCAGCCGGAGCAGCTGTTCCCCGCGAAAGTTTCCTCCGTTGCTTTGCGGGAGAGGCGGAGTCCAGCGTGCCCGAGAGCCAGGCTCCTCCAAGACGGGTTTTGAGACCTTCCCCAGCCCGCGGACGCAGAGTACTGGCGGTCCCCCCGAAGCACTCGGAGTGCTGGCCCCAGTAAAATACTGAAGGCACCTCGCAGGCTCTTCTCCAAGGCCCCGAGGGCCTCAGAGAGTTTTTGAGACCACCTGGCTCAGTGGAAACCTTTGAAATACATACTGTGTGTCCTCTGATGTGTGAGTGCCTACAGTGAGCAGGCCGGCGGGTCCCCCGCTGCTGCAGGTTAGCGCCCCAGGCTGCGGGCACTGGGCGCCGACTAAAGTCAGCTCAGTCCATACCCAGAAAGAAAAACGGGCTGCGGAAAAGCAAAAGGCCACGTCTTTGAATAAAAGCGAAACATTAAATCTGATCCGTGGATGGTCCTAGGTTCCCGAAAATTTGAGGCTCGGGCAGGGAGGGTGGGAGACGATGGTACCCGAGAAGAAAGGGGGTGGGGAGAAGGAGGAATACACTTGCGCTATGCGATTGTCCTGAGCATTTAATCCCTCCCCAGCGACCATTTGGGTTTTGTTGTAGGTTTGTTTTGTTTTGTCTTTTGTTCCTGATCCTTATCGGCCTAGGGGGCGAGCCACGCAGCAGCCCCCACCCGCCTTCGGTCCTAGTCCGGAAAAGAGAGTTAAAGCAGAACCGAGAGGGGCCCAGCCAGGCAGAGACAGGGCTCTGGGCGCAGCGGAGTTGCCGGCCCCACCTTTACCATTATACACGCACCATAAATGTGGCCCCGTGTGCGTTTGTTGGGGTGCGGTGTCAGAGACGAAAAGAAAGGAAGAAATGCAGAAGACCCCGAGCCCCGGCCCTGCCTTCCCCTGCCATTCCCAGGCAGACAGAGCTCGCAGCTCCGCCTCCTCCGCTCCCGGGTTTGTCTAGTCTCCAAGCCACCGCGCCCTGTTTCTGAGAGGCCTTTTCTCATCCAGCGCCCGGTTCCTACGAAAGCATTGGCCACTGCGAACTCCAACTCGGAGACCTCCAAGGGGACAAGAGCTCCAGCTGGAGTTCCCGCAGCCCGAGACGTGGCCAGGCCCCACCGGCAGCCCGGCTCCGCAGAAGGCCGGTGAATGCTTTAGGTTTCCGGCTTCTTCCTCCTCCCGGACTTTTGCCCCACAAACATATTTCGTTTTCTAAAACCCAAACGCCGGGTTTGTTTGTTTGTGTTTTTTTTTCCTTAAAAAAATGATGAAGGTAATAATGTCAGGACCACCGAACTCTCTGTAGTTAGGTAAAGTTCTGCTAGGTCGTCACTCTCTATTCTCAAACTGCAAGAGCAAGGGGACAGCATTCTGGCCCCCAGGTCCTCTCGTTTTCGACCCTGGACCGGTCCCTCTTTGCCCCAAGCCCCACTGTTCTCTCCATGCTCATGGCTGAAAAGGCCGGAGGAAAGAAAACTTAGAGCCGAGTCTCTGATCGTGACCCTGCGTGTTGGTCCTTTTCGAACATGCGACCTCAGGACGGCTCTGGGAGACCTGGCGGTTCCCTCGAGAATTGCCCTGGGGACAGGGCGTCTGTCGCGCGCTGCTAGATAATTTGTGCTTTTTCCACCGTGAGGAAAGTAAAACAAACCCATCCCCCAAATCGGGAGTTGTCATAAGGCCTGGAAGAATTTCCACTAAACTGTGTGAGGGCCCAACTGAGATTCTGACCACAGGTAAACCGGGTGAGGAAACAGGGTCTGGGCAAAGACGGGAGACACATTAGCCACGCGTTCCTCTCCAGGTTGCCCACACAGTGGTCCGCGTGGATGGGCACCCCCATCCAAATACAGGGGAAAACTTGAGCGGAGGAAATAAATCTCCTTTTAATTTTCTTTTCATCGACTAATAAAAATAATTCCCCAGCACTAAACCCAAATACCATAACGGGCCACAAGAACACGAATTCATAAAACTCTGTCTCTGCAGGTCACCCGCTAATCGCGTTATTATTAGCCTCGGGAGCATGGAAATTGAACTGTCACTGCCGAAAGAGAAAATGTAAGCGACAGCTGTCCCTCCTTGGGTCGGCCAGTTTTCCAGCCCCCAAGTTCCTGAGCACAAGGCCTCCCCGTCCCTATGCAGGCCGCCGCCCCCACCCGGGCTTGCCTGAGCGCTGACCCAGGTTTACTCCCCAGCCATAGCAGGTCAGAAGGAGCACCTCCAAAATAGTTTTAGAAGTCCTGGCTGGAAAGTTTCTGAAGCCACTAACCTAAGCTGCAGCCTCCGCGCGCGCGCGCGCGTGTGTGCGCGCGTGCGCGCGTCCGCTCAAGATTCCTCCGACAACAGCTGTTCCTCGGGACTGTTTTGCACTGTTGAAATCTTGGCACTTAATACAAAATGCTAAATTGTCCCCCACCCCATCCCGGATTATGTTAAAACACTGACATCGACACCCCGCCTATGTGTTACGTGTTGTGTGCGTATAGACCCAAGATACAAGTTAATCGCACCGCTTCACCCCCAAATACAGACATGTGGGCCCTGGCGAGTGACCCAGGGAGCAGGGTGAGGGGCCTAACATACATTCCTCTTTCCATAAAAGCCAACAGAGTAGAAATACGACCGTGCCCTCTCGTGTCTAGTCACCGGAGGAGAGGAAATTCAACAACACTAGTCGCAGAAAAGTTGGTGGGGGGAGGGCGAGGGACAAGGCTGAAAGCAAAATGGGATAAACGGGGCGTTTCTCTAGAAACGGTTGTCGGGCACCACGCTCGTCCTCCCGAGCTCTCGGAAGTGAGTCCCAGGCCTTCTCCTCTCCAGTCGTTGCTTGCGACCGGCGCCCCTCCTAACCCCAAGGCCCTGCAAGCCCCTCAGCTGGGGGCAGCAGGAACGCTGCGCTTTGCTGCCAGAGAAGGGGATGCGAGCAAGAAGACCTCCTTGCTTGAGGTTGGCGACGAAATGCAAGGCTTAGGCCAGTTCTCCCAAATTGGTTCCGGCGAATTTGGGGGAAGGCTCGAGGCATTTGTGCAAAGGAAAAGAAACCCGAGTTGGAGCAGGGCAGGGCGTGGGCGGCCAGGGCCTCCCGCCGCACCGCTCTGCCCCCAGGCCGGCCGCCCGCCTCCCGCGGTCTGGCCCTGCGCACTCACCCGGGTGAGGCTCCAGGCCGTGTGCGGCCGCGTCCTCCGCGTCTCCGAGTGGGCCCGCGGGGCTCAGCGCCTCCATGGACAGGTCCAGCCCCTTCTCCTCCCAGTCTCGCAGTTTCCGTTTTTTATTTGAGCCGATCAAGGCTTCAACGGAGAAGGCATGTGCTCGCGAGCTCAGGGCGACTGCAGATCTTCTCCTTTCACTCATCTTAGCCGCCCGCACCCCAGTCCCCGCTCGCCCCCGCTACTGAGGGAGCAGCCCGCGCCCTCACGCTCCGAGCGCCCGCCGGGCCGAGCCCGGGAGAGGCGGCGGCTCCGCGGGTCCTTTGCACCCTCCCTCTGCGCCCTCCCCGCCCTCCGCCGCCGGCTCGGACCGGCGCCCCTAGCTGCTCCAGCGGCTACGCACGAGCGCCCGGAGCGCCGCCCGCTCGCAGCATGAGCGCCCGCGTCCTGCTTCCCACCCACCGGGGCAGGCGCTCACAGGCTGTGCAGACTGGACTTCATCTTTTTTTTATTCTCTCTCTCTCCTCCCTCTCCCCTTCTCTCCTCCCTCTCCCTCTTCCTCTCTCTGTCTTCCCGTCCTTCCTCTAAGCCAAACTTCTGGGAAACTTTTTTTCTAAATTCCTCCCTTCCCGAGGAGCTGGGGGCAGGCGGTGCACTCCTGTCCTTGGGGCGAGGGAGAGGGAGGGGGAGGAAGAGAAAGACTGAAGGGGGAAAAAAAAAAGCCAGCCCCCGACCAATGGCGAGGAGGGAACAGGAGAAACCCTGCGAGCGCGGGCCAATGAGCGGAGGGGAGAGACTGAGGCTCGGGCCAGGGCTTGGCGCCCGTCGTCCCCGGGATGCTCCCGGGCCGACTTTAACTCCTGGCTTCCCGGTGCCCCGCGCGCTCCTTGTGGTGGGGCGAGAGGGGAGCTGAAGGTCGAGGTCAGATCTGTGCCCTTACAAACTCCTGCCAGTCCCCAATCCGCACCTTTTCCTCCCAAATCCTGTAGGTTTCAAAGAAGCTGCAAGACCAGAGTCATTTTAATCACAGCTCTGGAACTGGGGGGGCGAGGACAAAATGACAACCTGTCCAAAACGCAGGGAACGACTGTAATAATCTCGCTCCGGCCCCCAGATGGTTTTAGATCTGCTGGTTCCGTCTGGATTGCGACATACAGGTTCTTATTTTCCTGCCGAACGGTTTCTAAACAACTCTGGTAAACGCAAAACGAAACAAACAAACAAAAATGCACCATTTCTATCTACTCAGAATCTTGTCGTTGAAACTCTAAAGACCGCTTCCTCCTCCCAGCTTTACCTGGTGGAGGAGGAGACGAGGAGACGTAGGCCCCTGGAAGCGGGAGGCCGGCTGGGCGCCCGGCTTGCCGCGCGCTCTGCAGGCGGATCCCGACTGGGCCCGCACAAGGCAGACGCTCGCCTTCCCTTCGGCGCGGATGCTGAGCCGAGCTGCGCCCGCTCGGGGCGCTTGTCCTGGAGAACCCACGGAGAGGGGCTGGGCGAGGGCGGTCAAGAACTTGCTAGCGGAGAAGGAACTTTTTCAAAATTCTCTTCATCCTGGGCGTCCGGCTCTCCCCGCCCCACTGATCCCCCCACCACCCTTACAAAAAAAAAAAAAAGACATATATTTCTGGGCAGTGCAGTCGCTAGGGATTTCTGAGGAACTTGAAGTCCGTACTTCTGGCCTTTCTGATTTCCCACACTGCTTCCCAGGTTGAGCTACTGGTCGCGGGCCGCAGAGAAGCCCTGAGCCCAGGCCAGGGCAAAGCAAGTTCAGAGGGGCTCAGAAGTAATCTTACCGAGCTGGAAAAGAGTCTCCGGTTTCACGGACGACGACCTCGCCACAGTCTGATCCTCCTGTCCCAACGCCCTAGTCCGGGCTTCTATGCCCCCTAGGAGGGGCAGGAAAGAGCCAGCTCCCCAGTGTGAGCAACAACAGATCCAGAGGCCCAGCAGACTACTCTTGCGGACAGCCAGGCCCGGATCAGAGTCTGAACCTGCAAGCCTAGGGCAGAGGGGCCCAGGCATGTCATACACCCCCCTGGAAGGGGCACCCATCAGGTCCTCCCACCCTGGGGGGAGAAGGGAGGGCCTGTGAGGCCTCTGAAACACCACATTCCCCTCCTGACCACGGAGAGGCCCGGGAAATCTAGCCCTTGCTATTTTATTTGGAAACGCTCTGGCCTGGAGGCTGCAACTGAATGTCCTGAATGTACTTGGGTCTTCGGGCGGGGCAGCAAAACAGGCCACTTTGGGGGCCCCCTCAGATTGGGCTCCAGCTCAGATGAGATGAGCAGCAGCGCAGCAAATGCAGAAGGAACAGTGGGACATGCCACTGTGTGCGTGAGGTTCAGCCAGGCTCGGCCGTCAGGCCCTCCAGGAGCCTGGTCTCTGACCTGCACGCTAAGAACCCACAGGCCCAGACACAGGCTGCTGAGCCCCTCGCTGACTCCCAAAGGCTGCCTAGCAAATTCTGGGGAACGTGGAGTCGGGGTGGCTGGGCACAGTATCCCCACCTCAGTCAGCACTTGGCATTGCTTCCAGGAACCGCTGCCCAAAGGGATGGAGCGTTCACCACCACCGGGCTTCAGCAAAGGACTTAGAGAGCACACCCGCCAGGGGCTCGGGCCTCGATTTTGGTTCCAGACTCTGGTGTCACTGCTGGTGGCTGGACCAGGCCTGGCGGGGTGGCCATAGGGTGGCCTCTATTCTTCCCAGCAGTTCCCTTCTCCCCATTGTCTGTATCTCACACCTCCCTCCGGCAGCCTCTTGCCTCGGCCTTCTCACACATCCCCAGTCTGGACTGAGAAGTAGGTGCACCATAGGTTCTACACTCTCCCTGGAGCTGCAATGGTTTCTCAAAAAGAGGACTGTTTGGTTATCCACATGCCTAGATACAGGTCTGGAAGGCCTGCTTGATGTGGGTGCCCACAGACACGAGCCCCAGAGACAAGTCTGGAGAAGCCAGCGAAGCGCTGGAGGGCAGGCATCTGCACCCTGCCCCAGAGCACCGGCTCAGCACGGAGTGCTCACAGGAGCCTCTGCCTTCTTCCTTCAGGTCCCACAAGTTGTCCCCACCCCCGTTCTACATACACTCACATCCTTAAAGAGTAAATTAGGCCGTGAAAACAGATCAGATGGTAATGAAGCCAGGCTGGTTGGAAACAGCCAGGAAAATAGCTTTCCTCTAGATAAATGGGAGGGGAAGGGATGTTTTCTTTTTGTGACAATAGGGGGGTCAGTATAAGATTTTTCCCAGGGGCGTGCACTCTTTGGTGTGTGACCTGTGCCGATGGCGAAGAAGGCCTGGGGAAAGATTAATCAGGACAGTCTAATATCTGTGACGCAGGAGTATAAATGTGGGGGATTGGGGAGAGGAAGAGGAAGAGGGTTAGGAGATTAAAAAAGAATCTGGGAGTAATGGATGCACTTTCCTTCCATAAATTACATCAAAGGCTTTCAGATTTCCCTTTGGTTACCCCAGTTTCTCTTTTAACTTTTAGGGGAACAAGGGTCCTCTGTGTGAGAGGCTACCTGCAGACGCAATCCCCAGGTTTCCCGGCTGCAGGCTTCAACCTAGGGCCCGGTGGGCGGGCGGTGTAGGCGACAAATCCAGTTCTGGTCTATTCAGGCCTGAACCTGATTGTCAAAAATCAAACTGGAAGCCCCACCCTACCCCCTGCAGGGCCCCCAAAAGGGTAATTTAGTCTGATAAGCACCGAAAGTCAGGGGTAGGATGTGGGGGGGGGGGAGGGGCCGAAGAACTCACTGACGATCTGTAGGGACACGCCAGGTGGATGCTCAGCTTCCAGAGGAGGGAAGCCAAAGAAGGGAAGGAGGGCAGAGCGCTCACCTAACACTGACTACGTCCAGATACTGTGAGTTTTCAAAGAAACCTGACACAATTCTGCAGCAAAGGGCAAGAGTCTGGACCCGTACCTCCTCCACATTCCTGTCCTTTCCTTCGTTTCCCTCCACGCTAAGCACCTCCCGAAATAGCACCACTGCTCATGCCTCCGTACCAAGGTGAGCCCCCGCAGGCTGTGCTTTTCCAGGTTTGAGTGAGTAATTGAAAACAAAGGCAAAAATAGTTGGCCAGCAGGCCATGTTAGGCTGCCCTTAAACACGTGGGCAGGATACCCTTTGGGGGCTTGGAAATTACAATGAGTTCGGCTCGAGTAGGCAGGTATAAAACATTACGACAGGCCATGGGGTGGGAGGAGACCAGGGAGACTCGGAGGAAAGCGGAGCCCAGCAACCAGCTCAGCTGTGACCTTGGGCAAGCCACTTAATGGCTTGTGCCTCAGTTTCCCGGTTGGCAGGGTGAAGGGTGAGGGGACCCTAAATACTTTACAAGCAAGCAAAGCAGGCAAGAAAGATAGTGGGTGGGAGGCTGGACAGACCCGGGGTCTTATTACTGCTGTGATTGAATATGCCGGGAATGTGAGGCCAAGCACCCACTTTTCACTTCTTTTCCCAAATTGGCACCCAGTTATGGGGTGGTTCCACCGGCCGCCAGACCTCGGGCGGCCGTGGGAGGGGTTGATTTCTGGAAACGGCTGCTCAGTGCCAGCCCCGCGGAGACAGCGCGGGGCCACTTCTGCGGACTGCAGTCCCCAGTCGCCGGGAGCTGCGGGACCGCCGTGCGACGTTGGCTATTCAGCTGCCCCCTCACACTAAAAAAAAAAAATAATAATAAAAGCCGGTGGGGGCGAACGGGTCATTAATGATGTTTTTTTGTTTTCGGGAAATAAAACCTTTTGTTTTTATTTTAAACCAGCAGTGTGCCCTCCTCTCGGTCCTTCCAGATGTTTGCAATAAAATCGCAAGTTTTGCCTTTGGGACTGGAAATAAAATTTAACGGCCTTCACTCTGTAATTATTCTCTTAGCTCGCCCTTCATAAATTTATCTGCTTTCTATCGGCGTTGGGGTAGGGGGTGAGCGAAAGGGGAGAAAGCCCCAATTTTATATTTGTGACTATAAAAAAGCGCCACCCGGTTTCCTCGCCTTCGGCGGCCGCGGAGTAGCCCGAGAGCCTGGCCCGGCGGGCGGCAACATTACGCTATTGTTCGCGGGCTTGGGTCTGCGCAGGAGCTGGGCCCTCCACAAAGGAGGCCTGTGCCGCAAGGCCCCAGGCGGCCGCGCCCGGGGGGCGAGGAAATCCTGTTCCTCCAGGCCCCGCTTCTTTTTCCCCTGGGCGAATCTTGCAACCTGGCAGCCCGACCTTGGCCTCCAGTGTACGCCGGCCCTGTGGGGCGCAGCTCCTGCCCTGCCAGTCCGGCCCTGCCAACTTTCGCAGGAAGCGAAACCTCCAGCCTGCGCTGAGCCCGCCGAGAGCAGGGGAGGAGCCTGGCTTTGGATACCCAGGCGCTTCGCGAGGGTAGGCCTGGGGTTTCAGGCAAGAGGCCTTCTGGGAGGGCCCTCTAGCCCCTCTTCTTCGCCAGCTCGGGCTGGGCTGGGAGATAATATTCCGCACCCTCAGCAACTCAGGGTTGCCGCGCAGTCCAAGGCAACTAAATCCAAAGCCAGAGGATTTTGAGGCCACCAGCGTGCCCCACTCCCGAAATAAAATGTGGGTGCCTTGTATAGTAAGCGTATAAGCACAAGGTCCATGTATGTATTTTGCATGACCACACAAAGCCATGGTTATACCTACCTATCCAGCAGCATGCAG